TGTTCTTTTTTTTAAAAATGATGCTGTCCTAAATAAAATATGACATACCTTATATAAGTGCTGTACTGTACTATTGCATTTGACCCCTGTACCATCATCATCAATTGGTACGGTACAGTATGTCTATCATTTCCTCGATGAGAAAAATTCTAATCGCGCTTCCCACTCCTGTATTCACACGACACGTCCTTTCACCTTTCATCTAAATGGATGCTAATACCAACATTACAACAACTATATCAGAGGTAAGAGTCTTGTAACTCTTTATCTTGGGTAGAGACAGCCTTTTCTTTAAACTGAGTGTAGAGTTAAGTGAACTGTTAATAATGTATAGACGAGACCTCACCTGGCTATCTTTGGATGTAAATTAATTATTGATCAAGTTAATCACTATGTTGAATTCAACGAGTATCCGCAGACATCTGAAACTGGTGTTGCAACAGTCTATGATGTTTCTGCATGGGAACCTGAAGAAGCCAGAAAAGCTTTTGCCTTAAAAAACATACAGTACTCGATTGGTGATCTAGGTAACAGAAAGTTGATATTTTCTAACTGTCAATTCTTAGGTGTTGATACCACAAAGGAATATTAATATCGAACTTGTCAAGGAGTTAAAGCATGTGAATATGCATCACAAGAACTTCACACGCCACACACTGAAGTTGATTTTGAAGGTCAACTTTTTAAGCATCTCTTTGACGCACATGAATATTCCATTAGTAAGCAAACCCTTGGGTATGTTGGCAGGGTGCTGGTATATATTTTTATTGTTTTTATTGTTTTTATTGATTTTATGGTTATATTGCAGGAAATTTGTTGCAGCACACAATACTTCGTGTCCTTATCTGAATCCAGAGACAAACCAATACTGTACAGGCAGTCCTAAGTTGTGTGAACATAATCAGGTAAGAATAAGAATGCAAACATATAGGAGAGTAAAGGCATAATATGATAAGACTCTTTACTTTACTAGATCGATGGCATGAAAGCAACCTTTTTTATTGGTTGTACAGAGTGG